CTACTACTACTACTACTACTACTACTACTACTACAACTACTACTACTACTACTACTACTACTACTACTACTACTACTACTACTACTACTACTACTACTACTACTACTACTACTACTACTACTACTACTACTACTCTTCTGCGACTACTACTACTCCTACTACTACTACTACATCTACTACTACGCCTTCTACTTCCCGGCAGTTGGGAAGCTCTCCGGTCATGTTTGATGGCACCTGTGCGGTCTCCTGAGAGGTAATGACAACGTTTCTTGGCTCTTGCATGGACGACACACAACTACGTTTAAAATGAGCGAAGTCTTCCTGCCACTGCTCATTTCCCCGGTCGACCGGGGAAAAAACCATTTAACCGATGTTTGAAATATCGAACCGGGGCACAATGCACTGCCGGGTCGACGGCATTCAAAGCAAACCGGGGGCGGCGCGAGGGGAGACATAAGTAGTAAAAGTACCCCTGATCCTCTATGAGGGAACCAAAGCTTGGAGGGCCAAAGACATTAGGGAAAAGGGACACGTGTTATGTTTTATGCAGGTGCTTCAGACACATAAGTTCATATGTTTAGGGATATCCTTAGAAAACGTTGACCTCAGCTAGGAAACGAATCCATTGTTATTAGCGTTAGGGGTTGAAATGTGCTTGATGATGGAAGGGCGAAGTTATGATGCCTACTTGCCTAAGGGCTCCGTGGTGTGCTTTGCGGGCTCTGGGGGCCTCAAGGGCCCCTTGAAAATGGCAACGGTGGAAATGGTAAAGGCCCCTTGATAGTGGCAACGGCGGAAATGGTTGAGAAAACGGAAGCGGACGCTGGTGAAGTGTGGTGGCGAGACTTTAACCATTTAGACAGCTTCAGCGCTTCAAGTATACTTCCATTAGGCTTCACACTCTCCCCCCCTCTCGATCTCCACCAGAACGAGGTAAGAGAAAGGATGGAGGTATCTCTCGCTCTCCAGAGAGAGGTAAGAGAAAGGATGGAGGCAAATCCTGCTCAACCTGCTACTGCACATCCTTCTCCTCGCTGAAGTAGCAGGAGGAAGGTGGTGATGGAAGCGCTGGTGACTAGCGTGCGCTGGACGAAATGAACTGCTGGGCCCTCTTCAGAACCAGGTCGTACAGTCTGCGCTCCTGCCTCGTCAGATCCCGCAAGACGTCCAAGTGCTGCTCGGAGAGGGCACACTTTCGGCTGCCGCCCGTCATGGAATGAACCTTGGGGAATTTCACTACATCTCCGAATTGTGGAAACCATGAGGCAACAACATCGAGCGTCTTGCTATTTTCCATTATCAGCGGTACGCAGCGGGCAAGGTTGTTCAATGTTCTACTGAAGGCGAGCTCCCACTCCTGGCTGTCGTCATATGTGCTAAACAACGCCTCGTCAACGAAGCTGCTCAACATGCGGAATGGCTCGTTCATACAGCTATACCCGTACTCAGAACGACTCGCCTGAAAGAATCTTCTCATATCCTCGGGCGCGAAATCGGCCAGGCAAGAAGGGGCACCCTTGCCCTTATTGTGAAACCGGAAATAATAGCACGACTCTATGCGCGACAACGGGTCTCGGAAGTTCGTAAAACAGGAAAACTGCGCAACATCCTGGTGCCAAGATTTGTCAGAAGTGTCCCAGCGGCCCCGCCGCGCAAACATGCGGGACATCTGCAGCCAGTCCACATGCCCACCATAGACGGCCACTATGGAATCACCGTAGCTATAGGAGTCGCATCTTGTCTCGCCCATGTTCGGGAAGCATTTGATGTGATATGTGAGCCCCTTCTTCTTGCAGACACCAACCATGATGACTCGCAGGGAAGAGCCGCCCGCCTTCCTCTGGTGGATGAACACGAGCGGTCGCTCGACAGAGAACCTCTCGACTTTTGGGGGCAGAGGTGCCTGCAAAAATCTGTCCGCAGCCCTCTCGATTCCGCTGCCACGCTGAGGCTCGGGGGGGACCAGCCGCTTCGACTGATCCGAGGACAGCTGGCCTTGGAGTTCCAGGACCTGCTTCCTCAGCTGCTCCGCCTCCTCAGCACGTGCCCTCTCCCTCTGCCGCTCCTGTTCAGACAGCTTGGCTTTCAGCTCCAAGACCTGCTGCGTCAACTGCTCTACTTGAGCAGAACTGACCGACTGGTAATGCTGCAAAGCCGTTTCTGGCACTTGATTCTTGGTGGGCCCGACGTGAACAGTAGAGGTGAACAGTGAAGACTGCGCACCCACAACGATCCCCGCCATCACACATGCCACAACTGCTGCATGCATCGCGCACACGATGATACTTGATCCATAGCATCTATGGCGCCTAATATTGCCAGTGTCTGTGGGCTCCGTCCCAATAATTTCCGACGCGCTTGCATCCACCATCACTCTCGACCGTCGACCTTTAAGAATGGATTGCGATGTCTCTCGAGCGCCGCCAGTCTCTCGTCCGTCGCTTACACGAGGAACTAACTCAAGCGACAAATCTTGGAACAAGGGCTTGATCCACCATGGCTACCGACAATATCACTGGAGAATTGGGGCTCTCAATGGAGCCCCAGCGTGTCTCAAAACTCCCACACGTGCATCCGAGAGAAACCCTTATCGCTTCAAGAACGGCATCAGACTGCACCAAAAAGGGGCCCGATCACCAGACACAATCGTGGTACGAATGTTCACGACTTGTACCTTTCTCTTTTGAACAGGTGGACGCTTTCTTATTTGGCGTTTCGACATTGGGCGGGAGGGGGGGGTCTGGCTCCAGACCATTGCTTAATGCGACTGTTTGCAACAATACGTCATATGGGGGAGACTCCACCTGCTTGAAACGGGCGCCAGAAACAGCCCAAAGCAGGCGCCAGAACAGAGAAGGGGGGTTGTGAGAGGCTGCGCCGATCGGCAAGACAACGAACAAGAACCGATGACCAAAGGCTTGACAGTGGTGATGATCGTAGCGTTAGGTCGGGCCTGTCCCCCTACAGGCGGATTGTGGACGATTTTTTTTAGCGCCACAAATATTCAAAAATAATCCAGAACAGGCCCGTCGTAGCGTGCCGTTTTTAGAGGACTCCCCGTAGGCACAACACTGGCCAGACCGCCAGAGCGGACTGCAGCGTCCTCCCAACGGTCTGCCAGTACAGGCTGCACGCAGCGCCGCGAGAAGGCCAACACTATACAGTAGGACCTCGACCACAAGAAACCTTCCACAAGAAATCCAACCCTGAGACCCTAGGATGTCCATTTATTACTGCTATGGCGGCGTCACGCTTTCCATCCTAGAAACATCGAAACCAAAGAAACCCAGGGCAACTTGGAGGCATGCAGGGTGTTTCTTGGCATGGGCTTCCACTGTAGGGTCCTTGATTGATCTCAATGTTTGAATTGTGGCGCTGACCCTGCTTCCATCGGATCGCCGAAAGTCACAAAGCGGCGCTGCAGCATCCGCATCGCGCTTTCGAGGGCCCTGGAACCCCCCAGAGTCCAGTAGGAAAGATTGGGAACATTGGGAACGAGATACGGACGAGGAGCGAGGGAGGGGGGGCTGGAGGAGTGAGCGACGGAAGGGGGTGGAGAGTCGTGCTTGACCATGCTTGACCTGCGAAGAATACCGGACACCGTATGGCGAGGCACTGAGTAGAGTGTCCTCAGGTCCTCCAAGAGAGAGTCCTGTGCATGCAGGAGATGACCCACAGCCCGGAGTTTGGGGCACTCCTGGGCGGCCTGAGGCGCTTCTGGGCTGTCGGGGGGCTCTCGCATGACTTCCCCGGAGCCAAGAAATGGCCCCGAGATGCCCCAAGACGGTCCAATGGGGGCCCCGAGTGGCCCAAAAAGCGCCCCGAGACGCCCAGGATGGCCTCAAGGCGGTCCTAGAGGCGCCCAAGACGCCCCTAGAGAGCCCCAAGAGGACCCTCCCAGAGGGCCCCCAGAGGCTAAGAAATATGATGTTCCTTAGGCTCTTGGCCAAGAAGCATGATGTTCCTTAGGTTCTTCAGAGATTCTAGCGTCCTCGCCTTATCGGACTATCGACGCCCCCAGACAATCCAAAAAGCATCCAAGGTCGGCCCCAGAGGCCCCCAAGAGGACCCCCAAGAGGGCCCCCAGAAGGGCCCCAGACAGCCCAAGAGGCCCACCAAAACGACCCAAGACGGTCCGAGGAGGCCCCAAGAAGGCTCCAAAAATGAAAACTCTAACAAACATGATGCCCTCTCCGCGCGAAGATGCCCCCCTAGACCGCCGGCAAACCCTGGGCGGCCCCCCAGAAGATCCGGAAGGCCCCCGGGAGGCCCAAAGAAGGCCAAGGATGCCGGCCCCCAAGAGGCCCCGAGAGTCTACGAGACACTCCCAAAACCGCCCCTAAGGCTTGGCCTCCAAAGAGATCCCCATAGGCATCCAAGAGGCCTCTGACCTACAACCTGGGCACGGCGACGGGATGGGCCGAAGGCTACTAGATCAAGCTCCCAATGACACGGTGTCAGACAATCCTGTGGCATGCACCTCGATCTCAAGCAAACGCTGCGTAACAATAATGTGGTATCACCCCCGCTTCGACAACACGTAACTTATTTGTGTTACCACATACAATACGAAGTCATGCATGGACAGTGTTTGTACCCTCATGTGCAGATGCGTCCTCAACTGACGCACAACTTTGATGACTACTGGCTTTGATCTGGAACAACCTGTACACGCTGCTCGCTTAGCTGGAGTTTTTCGCAGCACTGGCCCTTGCAACTAGGAAAACAATCCCTCAGACGCTCCCTTGAATTGCAAGCGTTCACGTGTCCGCCCTCAACACCTCAACGTTAAGACGGCCCTGCCCACCTTCGGCTTCGCATTCGCCCTCTACCCGAGCCGACAACCAGACGAGGACGTTGCCGACGACGCCCCCTACGACGAAGACGACCACGCTGAGAGCCGCAACAACGACGACGATAGCCACGCCGAACCGTGCTGCCAGCACGCGAATCGGCGGCGAGCGAAGGGGGAGAAGTGAGAGGGAGAAGGCCTTCTCGGCAGGCGGCGGGACTTCTGAGGAACCCTCGCGCCCTCTGAGAAGAGTTTTCAAGAGGCTCCCAAGAGACCCCCGCGAGGCCCCCCGAATCGCTCCAAGAGGCCCCCGGGACCGCCAAGAGGTTCCCAAGAGGCAAGAGAAGCCCAAGAGAGCCCCAAGACGGCCCCCAAAGCGCCCAAGAGTGTTTGTGTCTTCGGGGGAAGCTTCGAACACTTCTCGGTAGGCTCTGGGGGCCTTCGGGGCCTCCTGGGAAGGCCCACCCCCCTCAAGTCCCCCCTGGGGCTGGCCGCCGAGTGATGGGGAGCTGCATTGATGTTCGTGTGGACAGCCCTCTCCCTTGCGCCCACCCTCTGAGTCTATGGGTTACGCTTAGGTCGGGCCTGTCCCCCTACAGGGGGATTCTCGACGAACAATAAAAACATATCCCGGCAAAGCAACCTAACAGCGATGTGTAGGAGCATATCTGGAAGCATTCCCCGTAAGATTCAGATAAGAATACTGTTGTAGAATTCTGCTGTTCTCGCAGTCGTGGTCGCATTCGCGATGGCAGTCGCAGTGGCAACAACAGTCGCAGTCACAGCCTCAGCCTCAGCCTGCCTCAGCCTCAGCCTCAGCCTGCCTCAGCCTCAGCCTGCCTCAGCCTGGCCCTCAGCCTGCTTCAGCCTCAACATCAGTCTGCCTTCAGCCTCGGCCTCAGCCTGCCTCAGCCTCACCCTCAGCCTGCATCAGCCTCAGCCTGCCTCAGCCTCGCCCTCAGCCTGCTTCAGCCTCAACATCAGTCTGCCTTCAGCCTCGGCCTCAGCCTGCCTCAGCCTCACCCTGCAGCCTCAGCCTCAGCCTCAGCCTCAGCCTGCCTCAGCATCAGCCTGCCTCAGCCTCAGCCTCAGCCTGCCTCTGCCTCAGCCTCAGCCTGCTTCAGCCTCAGCCTCAGTCTGCCTTCAGCCTCGGCCTCAGCCTCAGGCTGCCTCAGCCTCAGCCTGCATCAGCCTCAGCCTCAGCCTCAGCCTCAGCCTCAGCCTCAGCCTCAGCCTCAGCCCTCAGCCTCAGCCTCAGCCTGCTTCAGCCTCAGCCTGAGTTTGCCTGCAGCCTCGGCCTCAGCCTCAGCCTGCCTCAGCCTCAGCCTGCCTCAGCCCTCAGCCTCAGCCTCAGCCTTGCCTCAGCATCAGCCTGCCTCAGCCTCAGCCTCAGCCTGCCTCAGCCTCAGCCTCAGCCTCAGCTCAGCCTCAGAGCCTCAGTGCCTTCAGCCTTCAGCCTCAGCCTCAGGCCTCAGCCTCAGCCTCAGCCTCAGCCTCAGCCTCAGCCTCAGCCTCAGCCTGCCTCAGCCTCATCAGCCTCAGCCTGCCTCAGCCTCAGCCTCAGCCTCAGCCTCAGCCTCAGCCTCAGCCTCAGCCTGCTTCAGCCTCAGCCTCAGTCTGCCTTCAGCCTCGGCCTCAGCCTCGCCTGCCTCAGCCTCAGCCTGCATCAGCCTCAGCCTCCTCAGCCTCAGCCTGCCTCAGCAGCCTCAGCCTGCCTCAGCCTCAGCCTCAGCCTGCCTCAGCCTCAGCCTCAGCCTGCTTCAGCCTCAGCCTCAGTCTGCCTTCAGCCTCGGCCTCAGCCTCAGCCTGCCTCAGCCTCAGCCTGCATCAGCCTCAGCCTCAGCCTGCCTCAGCATCAGCCTGCCTCAGCCTCAGCCTCAGCCTGCCTCAGCCTCAGCCTCAGCCTCAGCCTGCTTCAGCCAAAGCCTCAGTCTGCCTTCAGCCTGGCCTCAGCCTCAGCCTGCCTCAGCCTCAGCCTGCATCAGCCTCAGCCTCAGCCTCAGCCTGCCTCAGCATCAGCCTGCATCAGCCTCAGCCTCAGCCTCAGCCTGCCTCAGCCTCAGCCTCAGCCTGCTTCAGCCTCAGCCTTAGTCTGCCTTCAGCCTCGGCCTCAGCCTCAGCCTGCCTCAGCCTCAGCCTGCATCAGCCTCAGCCTCAGCCTCAGCCGGCCTCAGCATCAGCCTGCCTCAGCCTCAGCCTCAGCCTGCCTCAGCCTCAGCCTCAGCCTGCTTCAGCCTCAGCCTCAGTCTGCCTTCAGCCTCAGCCTGCCTCAGCCTCAGCATCAGCCTGCCTCAGCATTCAAAGTGTGGCCCGGGAATGGAGTTCTGGGAACTCGAAGAACACGAAATGGCCTACAGTTGGCTCCGGGCATTCAAAATCATGCCCAGGAATTGAGTTCTGGGAAGTCGAACACCACGAAGTGGCCTACAGTTGGCTCCGGGCATTCAAAATCATGCCCAGGAATGGAGTTCTGGGAACTCGAAGACCACGAAGTGGCATACAGTTGGCTCCGGGCATTCAAAATGTGGCCCGGGAATGGAGTTCTGGGAAGTCGAAGAGCACGAAGTGGCCTACAGTTGGCTCCGGGCATTCAGAATGTGGCCCGGGAATGGAGTTCTGGGAGGTCGAAGAGCACGAAGTGTGTGACTGTATGCGAAAAACGATCCCCCCCGGCAAACCCCAACGGCCCCCCAACGGCTGCCCAGACC